CTGGGGTCATCCTAACTCTACAAATGAAAGGTAGAAAGGGTGTTTGATGAGGGCTTTTGAAGTATCAGGAGGTGAAAAGGAAACTCCTGGAGCCAGTCTCATCACTACCAGCTAAAAGCAACTCTGGGTGTAATTGGCTACTGTCTTTGCTATTCTGGATCCTCTGCTCCCTCCTCCTACTGGCACCTCCTCCTTTCTCTCTCCCAGCTGTAATGGGAATAAGCATGTCACCCCTTCTTTCCCCACAGATCAGAGTGAGTGGTTTCTTCTTGCCACCAAAACCTTTCAGTTCCTATCTCAACCCTAAACCAAACTTCTCCAGCTGTTGTGCTGCTGCTAGCTCATAGCACCAAGTCTTAAATCAGCACCATTACCCGCCAAGGGTTTTACTAAGACTCCAAGCTGAGGACCAGGTCGACAGGGGTAATTAGGAAACAAAAGGTCTCCAGGAAGTTGACAGACAGCCCCCACAACACCAAGCCTAGGCCTTGTTCTAACAGTGTGGATGGGCACCAGGATCAGACAAGACACACAGGCTGCTTGCAGACACTCTTAGGGCAGAGGACAAAGCAAAACTACCAGAAAATATCTTACAGGACACCAAAGAACTCATTAGTCTCCATTCTTCTGTCCCAAGATTGGGTTGAGATCAGTCTAGCTCCTCTGCACAAACCTGAGAATCAGGCACAGCAACTAGTCAAAGTACGGCCATGATCCAGCAGGAACTCTAGACTCTAGGCCCCCCAAAAGAGTGGGATACCTTCCAGGCTCCACAGAAAGGGCTTAGAAAGAAAGGAGTTTCCCACTATGGAATTATTCTGACCATCTACTTTCTTCTTATGAGGTCACTGTAAATATCTAAGACACAATCTTTAAGAACCTTTGAGGTCTGAACCAGTCCTAGCAAGAATTCCCAGTGGAGACTCATGAGCTCTTGTGGTAGCCGATGGCAAGGTTGGCAAAGTTCTATCTGTAATGTCTTAAAGGATAAGATGGTAAATATTTTAAGCTTGCAAGTCATGTGGCTGTTGTACCTACTTGACCATATCTCTGTGGCAAAACATAAGCAACAGGCATTTCTAAGATCCAATAAAGTACAGAAATAAGCATCTGGTCTACATAGGCCATAGTTTTGTTTTGTTTTTACACTAGAATCTGCTTTTTTAGCATTTCATGTTTCAGAGAGGAACAAAAGTCAAAACGTATCTATGTATCTCTACTATGAGATTCAGGTGTCCATATCTGCTACTTGCTCTAAAGGAACTAAAAAGTCCAGTCTGTTTAGTTTAAAAACTTAACCTGAATCAGAAACTTAAGCAAACGTAGAAATGGCTATAGACATCATTTCTGGGGGCCTCAGAGAAGTAAAAACTAGATTCCTTGTGCTAGATGCTAAGACCTGGAAAGGAAAGTGGTACATCCAAGACGGTGTACAGGTCCCCTGACTCTGTACTTCCCCTCAGTGATAGGAAGAAAGAAATCAGGTCAATAGCACTTCCTGAGCCTCTCAGTCAGTGCTTCTCAACCTTCCTGATGCTATGACCATTTAATACAATTCCTCAAGTTGTGGTGACCTCCAACCATAGTTATTTGTGTTACTTCATAACTATAATTTCCCTACTGTTATAAATCATAATGTAAGTATCTGTGTTTTCCATAGGTCTTAGGCAATCCCTGCGAAAGTGTTGGTTGATCCCTCAAACGGGTCACAACCCACAGGCTGAGAATCACGACTCTAAGTGAACTGCAAAGGTCAAGAAGGCAATATGGGGAGGGAAGTGCACCTGCGTGCGTCGATTCTGCATGTACTCAGAAACGGCTGCTACAAAGAAAGTATAAACTAGAATCTGCATTTTAAAAATAGATATGGTCTGACAGAAGATTTAGGTAGTTAACAGAAACAAGCCAAGGAGTCTGAAACGGTCTTGGGATTATAAACAAGAACAAGGTATATACCTGTGCTTCTAAGCTCTTCCTAGAATCTCTCCCCAGAACTGACTTCCACCTCACACTCTATATTTGACCAAAAATGTTTCTATGCTGATATCTAATGTCATCACAAAGATTTCTAAAAACAAATCAAATGTGTCTCCCTTGAACAAGTTTGAATACCAACTATTAAGGCTAAAATTTTAGCACCTTCCTTCCCCATGTCCTGTCCCCAAATCAAAACGGCTGTCTGACCTGTCTCTCGTTTCCATTCCTGCAGGCTTCACAGACTCCCCTCTCCAGTCCGGCATCTTACCTGTCTTCTGCCTGTACCATCTCCCTGACCCCCATGCCAGGCTTATACTGATGTATGTAGGGTCTAACCCAATACATCTACTCATCTTCCTCCCAGGCATACATTCCCTTAAAGGTCAGGGCTCACTACCACCTCTCTGGCTTCCAAGCTTCCAGAACCTTACCTAATTTAAGGGGCACACAATAACTGCTGAATGAGTGAACTCTGGCTTTTTATCATAAGGTATGTCTTACTTCCCATAACCCTGAGCCCAGAGCTTCACACTCTGTACACTCTACCATCTTATGGCCCCCTTCCACCTATCTACCATTCTGGAAAAGACCTCTGGCTTGTGGAACTCATCAATTCCTGACCTGTCCATGCTCCTGTCACTCTGCACGGCGTCTCTGCCCACGCTCGCCTAGCCCTGCCCAGGGATGACGTTCATACCCTGCCCCCTCCATGTATTCCAACTCCCACGCAACTGACAACTGTAGGGGTTTAGGGGTAGCTAGGAGAAGCAGGAAGCGGGGAGATGATTTTTTTAAAAAAATGACAATGCAGGGCATTAAGAGGGTATGTTGGAGCCTTTGATCCCTAGGGGCATCACCCTCCCAATGGGCAGGGTTGGCAGGCAATTGAAAGAGGAGGGGAAAGAGGAGGAACCAGATTTTTCCACTGAACGAAAAGCATGATTTCACCACTGCCTCTGTTGCCCTGGTAACCATGGACAGCCCAGTGGAGAGTACAGTAAAAGAACACCGTGTTTATCTTTGCTGTCTGATCCACTTCCCTGTACACCCTTCCCTGACCACCTCTTGTCCCCCAGACCTGCTCCAAATGTCATATAATGCCAGCATCATCGCTCCAGTCTGTTGCTCAAAACCTCAAGGGCAGAGCTAATCCTGATTTTCAAGCACAATGTATCATGTGCTCCACATCCTGGGGGTTATCTCACCACACCCACCTGCCATGCCACGTAGCCCCAAGAACCAAGAGCTGGACTCAGAGGTTAAGAATGGCATCCACACTAACAAACAATCCACTGGAGACGGAGATATGAAAGGACGAAAAGGAGAAAACTGCCCAGCTAGCACAGTTCACAGTACTGAACTGCTAGGTATGCTGGGTACCTCTCCTGTTCCAAGACCATCAAAAGGATTCTAGCTGGGGATGAGCTGAGGGAACAGGTCCGTCCAAATACCACAGATCCTTTCTCCTACACAGGCATACACCCCATCAGTGTGACCTCAGAACAGAGAGAAAGCTATCGCCGTGGGAGATTATATAAGTGTTATATAACATGACGACATCAATAGCACCAACGCAGTTATCCAATGCCAGAGACAGGCCAGGAGTGGAAACCAGCCCAAGGGGCTGGCATACCAATCCTCTAGCCACCAGTGCCAAAGGAAGCCTCAGCCCTGTCTATACCTGCTCCTTTCACCCCAGAGAACAGAGAGACTTGCCTGGTTCTTGCATTCTTCCCCTGCTGTGTGGCAGGTGGGGGCCACAGCACCAACACCACCCTGGCTAAAGGCAGACTGTACAGCCTGGCAGGAGGGTATCCAGGAGCCTCGGCAAGTGAGGGGGAAGGTACAGAGACCCATCTATCCAGACATAAGAGGCACTGCAGCAGCAACAGGTTTGGTTGGACCAGCTGTCCTCTGCTCTGCGATTTGTTGTTTCTCTAAAAATTAAAAAAATAATAATTACGTCCAAACTGAAATTTTAAAAAAATAATAAAGTCATATTTGCCAAGGGCCAAATCCCATCTCTGATTACAAACAAAGCTAGGAAGGAGTCCTGAGTAAATTCACCGTTTCCCCATAGCCCCACTTCCCCCACGGGAAGATGACCCACCACCCAGAAACTTAAGGGCGGAACTTAGTCCACAGCTCTGACTCTATCTGCCCTATCTCTGCAGCTACCTAGGTTGCCAGAGCAGCTACCCAGAGGGCTTGCTCCTCCCCCCCCCTCCCCAATGGCGCAGGCGTCTGTGGCTGGTGGACGTGCATAGGGGCCAGGGGGGCGCAGCTGGCCAGTTCAGAGCTCCGTCCAAGTCTCCCATAATCACTACCACACCCACGTTATTAATGGGGTGGAGGAATCGCACAGAACCTGCGCGGTGGCATCTCCTCAGGCTGCACCTGCGAGTACCAAGCTACGCCCTGGCTTTCCCTCACGCACCTCCGTGCCTCTGAAGAGCTAGAGGCAAGCTCCCACATCTCGGAACGTGCTGCGCCGTCCCTCGCCCCCTCAACCACCTGTCTCCGCTTCCCTCCCGGGAAGCCGCTCCAAGTAGCCGCACCCCTGCGTTAGCACCTTGCTCGCCGCCTACAGGGAAGCTGAGTTGCAGGGCGCCGTTCAGGTTCGTGCGCCCGAGGCTGTGGCCCCTCAGGCCTGCACTGCCCAGGCCGCCATCCGCACCCGCCTGCCCGCCCGCCCGCGAGGCGGCAGCGGAGTGGTAGGCGCGGCCGGGCCGGGCATGCAAGGGTCACGCGCGGCCCGGCTCGCTCATCCCGCCCCGCAGCTCCTACCTGGGCGGCCGCCGGCTTCCGGCGCAGCTCAGCGAGCACAGCCTCGCGGCGCAACTACCCGCGGGAGGCGCAACGCTGCGGACTCCGCTCCCTCGGAGAGCTCCGCCCGCTCTTCCCACGCTCGGCGCCCGCGCCGCGCCACCGTGCGGCCAAGTCCGGCGCTGCGCCTGCTGGGAACGCGGTCGCCCCCGCCCAACCGTGAGAAATGCGGCAGAGGATCTGACCAGCCAGCCGACCAACCACGTTCTCTCCGGCAACGGGCCCGCCCTAACCTGAGGGCGGCTGCAGAGCTGTCCTTTTCTTCACCGGTTCTGGTTTCTTTTCTTCCAAAGTTTCTCTCATGACAGCTCTTACAAGGTAAAAGGTAGGAGATGTGGGTTTCGCTCAGGCAACTAAAGGCCTGTGTAGTGAGATTCACAGGGGTGCACCTGGTGCTAAGTAGAAAACAGATTATGCTTCTGTCTACCTATAAATGCTTATTCGGGGAAATGTTTTCTTGACAGTTTTCTGAATACAACCTGTAGAGAATTGGAGAAGAACTGTGGACCTTCCCTACAGAAAAACGTGCACTCTCATAGAAGCAGAGTTTTGCATGGTATTTCAGGATATTTTGAAACTTCTCCATGTCAAGACCGCCAACCTCAGACCTCTACATGTGCCTGTGAGGGCAGGTAAGCCAATTGGCAGTACCTGAAACTGCCACTTTGCCATCCTTCTGAGACATCTTCACCAGCCTCTGAGACCGTGTTTCTGCCTACAAAAATGCCTTTTTTTTTTTTTTTTTTTTTTTTGTAAACCCTTCGATGGGAATTGGAGGCATAGTAGGGACAGGCAGATTGTAGAGGGGTCTCGTTTCTGGCCAGTCTTGCCGGAACTTGAGCTCAAGATTTAGTGAAAGATTTTATCTGGAAAAATAAGATGGAAAGGAGAAGAGGAAGACACCAGATCTCTACTTCTGACCACTCATACCCTCCTCCTCCTCCTTTCCTTAAAGGCCAGCACAAAAGCCTCTTCGTCCTTGATGATTTTTCTGCATCACATTCTGTTTTTAACCACTGTTTTATACATGCTCCTCTTGCTGTATGTAGAAGGAGCTGCTGGGCTTCGTTCCTGCCACCCGGCTCCTGGCCACCTGGCTAGATTATGCCCTGAAATAACACACAAACTGTATTCATATAAACACTGCCTGGCCCATTATACCTAGCCTCTTTTGGCTAACTCTCATATCTTGCCTTAACCCATATCTAATAATCTGTGTAGCACCAGTCTTACTGGGAAAGATTCAGCATATCTGACCTGGCAACTTGCTCCATTAGATCTGCCCTGGAGAGAGAGGCATGGCGTCTGATCTCACTTCCTCTTCCTCCCACCATTTTGTTCTGTTTACTCCGCCTACCTAATTTTCTGTCCTATCAGGGCCAAGGCAGTTTCTTTATTTAACCAATGACCTTCCTCCATCAGCTGTAGTTGATTGTAAGTTCTTTTAAGATCAGTGTTTTCCTTCTGTAACTGAGGTAATTTACACAATTTATTTGACAACAGTTTATTAGTACTCAAAGTGAAGGAACTGGGGGGAATAAGAAGCCCAGGGGGATACCCAGAGGAAACTGTACCCTCCTTTTCTTTGGTTGCTCCAACAGCAACACATATTCTCCCAAGTATAATTCCATGGCTAGAAAACAGAGCCCTTAAAATGGGAAGATCTTCTCATTTCTGTTTTCTTTTGGACAAAGCAGCCTCAATTCAATGGTTGCTAGATGAAGTTAGGATACAAGTTCGTGCAGAATGCGCCTGTCAAGCAGCAGTTAATCCACCACTAGTGTCCATGAGTCCAACAAGGTGCCCCACCCCCTACTCATTGTACCTGATAGAAGAAACAAGAATGTCACCTTTGATTTTTCATTTCCTCCAAGCCAGTCACCATGTTCTGTGACTTTTCCTGGGAGTTATGAACAAACCAATCCATGGCAGCTAAAGAAACTATTCCAATTGAGTGTAGCTTAGTAAACCAGTGGATTTATTGGGGTCACTTATAGAACATGGATGACTAAAGGTAGTTGCATCACTGAAAAGCTTGCTCCCACGATGAGTGACAATTCATAAAACCTGCAAGTGTGGAACTTCCAGGCCTACTTATAGACAGCTCAGAGTATCTTCTCTCCCCAGCTAATGCTATTTATTGCTTATGTAACCTTAAGAAGGGACCTATGACTTGTAAATTTCAGGAGCTTGTTGAGACTTCTCAGTTTTTAAATTTGTATTTTTAGTTTGCTTCCTAACTCTTAAGAAGACTGTGTCCAGAAGAGTGTGTTTCAGTAAGGAAATAACTCTATAACACACTGTCCATGCTCTACTCCTAAATCACATCTTGAGGTCCTCTTCATCTTCATTCCCAGCTCAGAACAATTATTTTTTTTATAAATTTCCACATGTGTCTCCACCCCAGCTACACTCCCTGCTTCCAGCCTCACCAGGCTCAGATCCAGGCCCACATCTGCTATGGCCTGTATATGTGTCCTCTTAAAAAATATTTTCAAATTCATAGATCCAATGTGATAGTATTAGGGGGTAGAACCTTTGGGATATAGTTAGGTCATAAAAGTGAAACTTTGTGAATGGAATTTATGTCTTTAAAGAGGGGGCATTTGCAGGGTGTAAGTTGCACACAAATGCAATTTCAGGACTTTAGAGTGCACAGCAGAAATATCATGAGTTCATTACCAGCCTAAGCTATATATTTAGAAAAATATAAAATACACCTGGGAACTTGTTCGTTCTCACTGTTCTGTGCCTCCTGAAGAAAAACCAAGACAAGATAAAAACTCCAAAAATAGAGGCTGACCTTTACCAGAAAAAAACTTTCCAGCACCTTGATCTTGGTTTCCTCAGCCTCCAGAAGTGAGAAATAAGCACCTGCCCAAGGTTTTCTATTATAGCATCTCAGAAGAAAGACAACATTCCAGGCTGAAAGGTCTCCAAAAGTATCAATCTCTTCTCTGATTACAACCATGTGAGAACCAAACCTCTTCACCTGGTTCACTAGGCCTCAAGGATCTGTCCTTATCTCCAGCCTCCCCTCTTGGTACTTTGCTTTAATTGCACACTTCGCTGATACTAAACATCAGTGTCCTTCCCACTCAACAGTGAACGCTCTCCCTGCTACACCCTGTTCAGCAGTCCCCTTTGCCTTCTCTTGCATTACTGTTCTGAGTCCATTCTTTTTATGACATTATCCCTTCAATACTGCTATTTACTTCTGTGACATCAGCTTTCCTTGCCATAGTGAGATGTCTGCACCAGTGTTCTCCATGCCTAGCACAAGACCTATTGTAATGTAGAAGCATGAACATTTCCATTAAATAAATGAAAGGTAGAATATAACAGGCACCCCAGATAAGAGACCCTGGGGCAAATATAGTAGTATTCTTAAATGCGGTAAGACCAACCAGTCTTGTTTTATTGTTTGACTTTTGTTTGTTGAGATAATGTCTTACTCTATAGCCCAAGCAGACCTCAAACTTATAATCCTCCTGCCTCAGTCTTCTGAGTGCTAGGAATACAAGTGTGTGACACCACACATGGCTAGAAGGCAGAAGGCAGATTTTAAAGATAGCAGAACTCGCCATTTTCAAATGATTTTCAATCTTTCTGAGTCTTCAGTTTCTTCGACTGAAAAATGCGGATGGTAACACCCAGGGTTGCTCTTAGATGTATGTGGTGGTACTTAACAATTTTAAAATCTTCTCCGAAATCTATGTATTATAGTTGGTTATGTTGTATCACTTACTTGATCCTAGCAGTAACATTTTCATTTTGCATGTGAGGAGACTGAAGTAGATCAATGGAACACCATTTGTCATAGGTTACCTAGCTAGTCACCAGGCAACAGATTGTGAGTTTGGGTTCTAAGTCTAGGTATTCTCTACCACCACCAACCCCCAACCTGCTCTTCCCTTCCAGCTCCAGAGGAGGAAGCAATATTGGGACAGATATGTCACAGACACGGAGATACAGAACTTATGAAGGGTTTTTGAAGTATAAGGTAGTTTGGTTGGGAAAACTTAATCATATATAGGAAGAAATGTAGGCCTCTGTGTGTTTCTTTGGGACTGAGTGGCTTCTGGACCAGGTGGGACAGAAACCCATCTCAATACTTTTGTATTCTAATAGGATAATCTCAATGGACAGACCAACTTTATATATTGCTGCACTGTGCAGCCTGGATGCCGAGACTGGCAGGAGGTGCCAGGATTGAGACACGGAGGCTTCTTTTCAGATGGAAGAACAGCAACCTTTATTTAGCCCCGAGCCTTTTAGACCTCTGCTGCTTCTGTGGAAAACCTCCGGCCAGAAAGAACACAAACATCCTTGTCAATTACAGACCACAAGGAAGTTCCTCTGTCAGTTAGGGGGAGTGAGGGCAGCTGGATCACAACAATATGTCACTGAACACCTTCAGGCTCAAAGATTACCAGAAGCCGGGGTCTGTTGACTCTATATTTGTACTTCTGCCCATCACCAAACAGCTACCAAACTCTTACTAACATTTTGTTAGGTCTTGCAGATGTCTGGCCACATTAACCCCTCTGAGCCTCCATTTCTCCATTATTCAAAATGGGATTAATCATATCCCAGCACATAGCTGTGGTGAGAATTAAGCCAGGTGATAAAACAGCTGTTGGTGGTTTGTTGCTAGTGTAAACACCTTCCCCAATGTCCAACCCTGTGGCTGATGGTGTTTATGCTCGTAAGTTGTCTGTTTAGCAACAAGGCAAAGGACAGAGGGAAACTTAGGAGATTGGAAGGCACAGGAGTATGAAGGCTGTTGTTCTCTCCTGTTGTTCCTTTCACAGAGATATGGAAATAGCGTTGAGGCCCTGAGCTTTTTGGAACTGTTCAGTAATGACATGATTCGTATGCAGTAATGTTGCCTATGTTGATGGCTTGTTGCCTGAGGCTGTAAATGTATCTGTTATGCAAAATGATTTTTAAAGACAGAATCTCTCTATAAAGCCCTATTTGGCCTCAAACTTGCAGTTCTCCTGCCTCAGCTACACAAGTATTAGGTTTACGTTTTGTCTTACCACACCTTTACATAGAAGGTATTTGATGAGAGGCTTTCTCAAGACCTTGGTGGGTAGGAGGAGGCCTGGGCCAGTAATTGCCAAGACAGGAGAGCAAGAACAAAGTCGTCTTCTTTACTGACCACAGTTAAGGTCAGGGCTCATCTGAGGCCAACTGGAAGGCACTTTGAAAACATCAATGAAATCACCTGTTGTTGGAGGCTACTAGTTCGTTTCCTGACCATCCTGACTGAAAATAATCAGAAACTATATTGTTTGCTATACTGTTTGGACAATAGCTTAAGCATATTTCTAGATAGCTCCTTTTTTTCTTTTTTTTTTAATTTATTAAAGATTTCTGCCTCCTCCCCTCCACTGCCTCCCATATCCCTCCCCCTCCCTCATCAGCCCGAAGAGCAGTCCGGGTTCCCTGCCTTGTGGGAAGTCCAAGGACCTCCCACCTCCTTCCAGGTCTAGTAAGGTGAGCATCCAAACTGCCTAGGCTCCCACAAAGCCAGTACGTGCAGTAGGATCAAAACCCAGTGTCATTGATCTTGACTTCTCAGCACAGCGGACAATGAGGACTGCTGAGAAGTCTAGATAGCTCT